GGAGAGGGAGAGGGAGAAGGAGGCTCCCCGCTGAGCCAGGAGCCCGATGTGGGGCTCGATCCCAGGACCCTGGGATCATGACCCGAGCCGAAGGCAGATGCTTAACCATCTGAGCCACCCAGGCGCCCCTTAAATATGTTATATTTGTTTCAAATAAGGTATGTTCACTACAATTAAAATTTAACATTACTAAAACACTTAAAACTCTCTTTTTGCTTTGGAATTTGGGGAAATGGAAATTGGTTTGTTGGCCCAACTCTAGTTTTTCATAATCAACAGAACTTAAGTCAAGGTTGAATTAAATAATAGATGACTGAAATGTCCTCCTTCCACTTACTCCTGACGCTGTGATATCCCTCTGTTGACTTACCTTCACCTCCAATTCCATATGAAACCACCCCAACTCCATGGCATCAAAGACAAGCAGAGCAAAAAGGAGGACCTATTTTTTTCTTTTCCTATTCAACCACCCCTTCGCTAACAAATTTCCTTCCTTGAAAACAACTTTTTAGTTTTCAACAGGAAGTATAAGGCAAGCTTCTTACAAAATCAAAGCATGTCAGAATTTCCTTTCACCACCTGCCTTTGAAAACTGGGACCTTCGAAGTTTTATCAGTACCAAAAAAAAAAACAAAAAAAAAAACCAAGCCACCCATTCAATGCAACTAGAAGCCTCAGAGGATGACCAGACAGTTCCTACTCCCAGACTGGGCCACCAACTGCAACGTAATGACAAATTGAGAATTCCAGGAGTCCATAATCTCTCATGGGTCATCTGGGAATCAAACTGAGGGTTTTAGAGGGGAGAGGGGTGGGGGATGGGTGAGCCCAGTGATGGGTATTAAGGAGGGCACATACTGCATGGAGCACTGGGTGTTATACGCAAACAATGAATCATAGAACACTACATCAAAACTAATGATGTACTGTATGGTGACTAACATAACATAATAAAAAAATTATAAAAAATAAATTGAGAATTCCAGAGAAGATTAATGTTTCAGAGGGTCAGATGACACCATTTTAAAGTGTTTCACCCTTCAAAATGGAAATTAAAAATTTAAATCAAAAAACCTATTTTTTTTTTTTGTCCTGTGGACAATGATACTGGAAGAAACAACAGCTCAAGAAAATGACGGACTCCCACTTGCGAAAGAAAAAATATGCTTGATGATGGGGAAGTCAATTACAAATACATTGAAATTGATCAAGGCAATGGGCTACTTCACATGATATTTCCCATGCACTGTCCCAAAACACGACAGTGATAGGGTGTTTGCCAAAATCAGAACGACGTTCTTCATGCCCTAATGAACTCTGCAATATATTGACAGTGCTAATGAGCTTCTCTTGTTAATCAGTAAAGGGGACTCCTCATGTATCATTTGAGGATTTTTCTTTTTTCTTTTCAGAATTTTTAATTTCTTTTCTCAGAAAACTTGATAGGTATACTTTTTGCCCGGCCCAATAAAATTACTGTAAAGAAGTAAGGAATTAAAATTTTCGCAAATAATACGAGTGCCGATTTCCATCACTTTCATGTTAAAAAGACATAAAGGGGAAAAAATGCCGGGATCTTAAGCCCATTACAACTGTTTGGTTCAATATTTCTTACAGTACCAAAAATGCTCTGGGGAATTTAGCCCACGTCTAGGCTTAGAGTGAAAAAGAAACTGTTCTAAAGTCAGGTGTGTTCTGTTTCATCAAAGCACAGAACTGGGTAGCTTCTAGTTCAAATCAGAAAATAAGGAAGTTGTGTCCTTGCCATTAACCCATAAAATCCTAGCTACTACTAATGGTAACAAATGACTGACTTGCCATTTTTAAAGGATAGTGAGAATTTGCCATCTGTAAAGAGGAACTAAGAGGCACACGTGGAAATTCAGGAACGTACCAAGTGTTCGCAATAAAACAAACTGCATTCCCAGCGCGAAAGGTCTCTCCTCATCTTCTACTGACCTATGATGAAGGGAAAGAAAGAAATGTTTTAAAACACTGGCCTCAAGAAAATGAACATCAAATCAAGCCTGCTTAGCACAGAGCCAGGGACCAAAGAGCTGCTGTGCCAAAATATTTATTTACTAGAATTTATTAACAAGAGCCAAACAAGACTGCTGATGTAGCTGAATCGGTGAATGAGTTCTCCCCAGTGAAGACTCCAAAGAAGCTCTGATTAACTCTGTTTCTGGGTAAATACTGGTGGAGGGCCAAAGGTTCATAGCTGAAGGTACAGAAGTAACTCTGAGCTTCTAAAATCAGTTCTGTGAAAACAGATGTAATAATTTATCCTAACTACCGCATTCTTTTTTTTTTTTTTTTCTATCTGCTTACACTTTCCAGAGGGCAGGTGTGTCGACTGAAAGTTATTCCCATAGTTTCTCAAGGAAGAGTATAGAGGAAAGAAGTTAAAGAAAGAAGTAGAGGGGCGCCTGGGTGGCTCAGTCATTAAGCGTTTGTCTTCGGCTCAGGTCATGATCCC